CCATATTTGGAGTATGGCATTGAAAACTGGGGAAACACAAAAGTTCACTTCAACCATTGTACATATTACAGAAGAGAGCGATAAGAATTGTGCATAAGATGGGGTATAGGGATCACACCAATGTAGCTTTCATACAGTCTAAATTGTTAAAATTCTTTGATTTAGTGGAATATAAGACTGCTGTGTTTATGTATAAAGCCAGGAACGACTTATTACCTGGTGGAATCCAAAAGTTATTTGATGAAAGGGAAAGGGGATATAACTTAAGGGGTCACTTAAATCTAAAAGTTCATGCTATACGTACAACCAAAAAAAGATTTTGTATTTCTATAAGTGGGGTCAAATTATGGAATAATTTAAGTGTGGACATGAAAAATAGTACTAGAATTGAGGAGTTTAAATATAAATATAAATGTATGTGTCATTCAAGATATATGCAAGAATAAGATTTATTCGAGAAGGCATTAAGGAAACACTCTGTTTTAATGTTCTGTGTATTACTTGTTGGTGAAGAAGGCAATTACCTATGTAGAGATACTGCTTGCAGCCAATGATGCATGAAATTTTTTGTATAATATGATGTTATGGGGTAGGACTAGATAAGTCTGACTTCTTCCTACTCCATTCAAACATGTAATAGGTGTAAGCAAACCGATTTTGGATTAGCATTGGTTGGATATGTGTAACTATGTGTGTGTTGATGTCATTTGTTCTGTTTTGCATGTTTGAAAGAATAAATCAAATCAAATCATCTCAGTCCAAATAGAAAATACTGCAAACACACAATATACTGCATATTGTGTAGTTACCATTTACATAAAACGCGATACCAATGCTGGCCCTTGTGAAAAGACATGCCATGCTACAGTGACAGGACAAGTCCAGGATCACATTTGCTGCACTGGTCCCAGCCCTGCCACTGTGACAGTGTCAGGATATTCCTCTGCATCAAAATCACACCTATCTGAAACGCATTAAGAAGGCAAGAAATTCCACTAATTAACCTTTGATGAGGCATGCCTGACAACTGGGAGCAATTTCACCAGTTGAGAAAACAAGAGAAGTTGTCAAAAAAGCTGGCACTGTTTGTCTACTATGCAATTCCAGTGACAGATTTCAGTTTTCATGTACTCAGTATTGTCCTACAATGTAGAATATAGTAAAAATAAAGAAAACCCTGTAATGAGTAGGTGTGTCCATACATAAGTCCACAGATTGCTGACAGATTTTTATCTTCCAAAAGGAATTCTACTCTATATCAAAATGCTACAAACAACACATCTATGATAAATCACCGTAGGATTTGCCAAGATAAGACTGGCCTCACTGGGATGATAGCAAATGTTTCCAGGCGGTCTCCTCAGGAGCTGGGCTGCGAGCTGCTGAGATGGTATTATCTAACTGGTGGGTCCTCACCTCCATAAAACACTGGGACAAATCTACAAACAGCCATTTTTTGGATCAACTGACCTCATATGTGAAACCTAAATGGCAACTTTGATTTATTTGATTTTATTTTTCAGGTGACAAACTTAATAAAGTAGCATAATAGTGCTACTAGGAGGAGAATTATAATGGTTCGGAGCCTGGCTCAAACTCTCTGTCATCATCACTCGTTAGCACGCAATGCATTCTGGGATATATGGCTACTGAAGTCCACACAGGTCATCCCGCAAATTATCCTTGATTTAAAAAAAAGGTGGTGAAAGAACACATTTGGTTGTTCAGTCTGTATTTGGCTAGCTATATACTTTGAATTCAAACAGTATTTGGGCTGTGAATGATGACGTTTCACAGATCCATAAGATTACAAGTACAGAGAAAAGCAAAGACTGACGAAGGCCTATGTAAAAAAAGCCAACCGTGGCCTGTGACAGAGTCGGGGGAGGCCATTTTCTAGCTTATAGTTTTGCAGCCCACTCTACTCAACCATATCATCGAAATATGTTGTTTTAGTTAACACTGAAACAACACACACAACTGAAGCCTAAATGTTCCTTCTTTCATTGTATTAGTACTTAATTCGTAGTGGCTTCCTCACCCCAGCTGGCCGAAAGCAATGTTCTCATCAATTTTGGAGCTGTCATCCCTCTCCTCCTGGGTCATATGACACCACTTCTCCCTGCAGCATAAAGACAGTCAGAGTAAGACATTAAATCCAGTGGCTCTATTTGACCTTCAGCTTCTCTGTGGAAACAGGCCAGGGGTGGATGTCAGAAAAAAAAAAAAAAATCACCTGTTAATGTCACACTGATATTGTACAGCAATACCAATGATAGCACAAAGCTTCAAAAATGTTGAGTTTTAAACTTGTCACTAGTTTGTGATGTTATAAAAGGTCTGTGATCTGTCTATAACACGACATCCATCCCTGTAACTGCTCATTTTGTAATGGGTGCATAAAACGACATTGCATTACACGTAGAATACATAAAACATATCAGAGCAAGAAATACAAACCAGCCATCAGCAAAATAATAAAAAAAACTAATGATTCATTCACAAAGAATCATTCTTGTTAACAAGCAGATGAAAGGCATAGATTTGCACTGTGTATTAATACGGAGCAAATACTTAGCAACCTGGAAACTCACTAGCACCACTAAAGTCCTGAGGCTTGTCAAAATACACTGGGTAAAGACATCATGTTGCTGCATACTGTTTTACTGCTATTGTTTTTGCCACATATCACATAACATGTATCAAGTGAGTGGTAAGTGCTTTCTTGTGCTGTATTGAACTGTCTTGAACACAAACAATACCTACCATAGTATTCATGGTTTGAAGCAGTTATGTGACCACTGGCACAAAAATGATTTGTTTGAGGGTTTTCAGTCAGGTTTTAGAGTCCATCATAGTACAGAAACTGCATTGGTGAAAGTCACCAATGATCTTCTCCTAGCCTCAGACAAAGGACTTGTCTCCATACTTGTCCTCTTAGATCTCAGTGCTGCTTTTGACACCATTGATCACAGCATCTTGCTGCAGAGACTTGAACATGTTATTGGGATTAAAGGAACTGCACTAAGTTGGTTCAAATCTTATTTATCAGAAAGATTTCAATTTGTTCATGTTTATCTGAGTGGACCCGGCTCTCAGAGGTGACTGCCATTACAAGCCAGTTGGGTCAGACACTGCTCAACCTGAGCAAATACGGGGCAGTTGGTGTGCGTTAAGCTATATATCTGCTCTTTGCTTTGGTGAGGATAGGGTTCAGGCATGCTTTAAGGGCAGGTTAGGGCAGGAAAATGGTGTTGCTTATTGTGGGGAACTGACGATTTATGATGGCATGGCCTGACATCCCCCTCTTTGGGGCCAAATAGGTAAATATCACTTATATTTAATCGTATACTAAAATATGAATGCTCTCCTATTCTTTGGCACATTTCATTGTGTATTACTGACTGATTATATGAAATATTATTAGATTACCATATAGTGTTATGTATGTAAATGGTGTGTGTGTGTCCGCGCCTGTACTATATAGGATACTTAATATTGTATATTGTAATGTGTGTGTGTGTATGCATGTATGTATGTACGTACGTACCATATATGAATATATATATGCTGTATACAGCACTATATATGTAGTGTATGTATTATAGCACACACACACACACACACACACACACACACACACACACACAATACATGTAGCGTATACTGTATACAGTGAGTAAAATAACTATTGAACACGTCACCATTTTTATCAGTAAATATTTTTCTAAAGGTGCTGTTGACATGAAATTTTCACCAGATGTCGGTAACAACCGAAGTAATCCATACATACAAAGAAAACAAAACAAATAAGTTCAGAAATTAAATTATGGAATGGAATGACATGGAAAAAGTATTGAACACATGAAGAAAGGGAGGTTCAAAAAAGTATGGAAAGCCAACACACCAGCTGAAATCTATCAGTAATTAGAAAGCAATCCTGCCCCGTCAGTGGGAATTAATATCAGCTGGTTGAGTCCTAACTGATGGTCTATTAAAAAGGTGTCTCGTTACCAAGGTGTCACACAAGAAACATCTCATGATGGGTAAGAGCAAAGAGCTCTCTCAAGAACTTCACAACCTTATTGTTGCAAAACATACTGATGGCATTGGTTAGAATCAGAATCAGCTTTATTGGCCAGGTGTGGTGGACACGAGGAATTCGACTCAGGTACATCGGCTCTCAATGTGCAAACAGTAAACCAGCATATGGCTGTGTAATATAACAAAATAGCAGTATTAAAATCAACAACCAGTGCAAACAATGCATAAAAAGCAGTATAAATAGACAGTAAACAATGCAGACAACAAAGGAATGTTCATTGAAATGAGATAATTAGGGATAAAAAGAGTTCTTAAAATAGAGTACTAGAGACCTGTACGAGTCTGTATAATCTGTAAAATGTATATATATACACACACACACACACACACACACACACAGGTATTGCACTGAGGGTTATTGTCCAGTCATACTGTCATTGGTTAAGTGTTCATCAGAGTGACAGCCAGGGGGAAGAAACTGTCTCTATACCTGGTTGTCTTAGTGCACAGTGACCTGTAACGCCGTCCAGAGGGGAGGAGTTCAAACAGGTTGTGTCCAGGGTGTGAGGGGTCAGCAGTGATCCTCTCCACCCTCCTTTTGACCTGTGCGGTGTACAGGTCCTCCATCGAGGGCAGGCTCACACCAATGACCTTTTCTGCAGTCCTGACTGTCCACTGAAGTCTGTACTTGTCCTGTTTGGTTGCTGAGCCAAACCAGACAGTGATGGAGGTGCAGAGAACAGACTCGATGATTCCTCTTTAGAACTGTATCAGCAGCTCCTGGGGCAGGTCAAACTTCCTGAGCTGGCACAGGAAATACATCCTCTGCTGTGTTTCTTGGTGATGGTCCTGATGTTGGACGTCCACTTCAGGGCCACACCCCAGGACCAGCTGCTCAGCCTCCCGTCTGTAGGCTGACTTGTCTTCGTCTCTGATGAGACCAATGACCGTCATCTGCAAACTTTAGGAGCTTGACAGAGGGGTCCTCCAAGATGCAGTCGCTGGTGTAGAGTGAAAACAGCAGAGGGGAGAGCACATATCCCTGGGGGCACCTGTGCTTATTGTCCGGGTGCTGGAAGTGGTTTTCCCCAGCCTCACCTGCTGCTCCCTGTCTGTCAGAAAGCTCGTAATCCACTGAGAGGTGGGGGCAGGCACAGTAAGCTGGGTCAGTTTGGAGTGGAGGATGTCCAGGATGATGGTGTTGAATGCCAAGATGAGGTCAACAAAGAGGGCCCGTGCATACGTCCCTGGGGAGTCAAGGTGTTGCAGGATGTAATGCAGTGCCATGTTCACTGCATCGTCCACTGACCTGTTTGCCCGGTAGGCAAACTACAGGGGGTCCAGCAGGGGGTCTACAATGTCCTTCAGGTGGGCCGACACCGTCTTTCAAAGGACTTCTAAGGATTTCTAAACTTCTGAATGTTCCAGTGAGCACTGTTGGGGCCATAATCCGAAAGTGGAAAGAACATCATTTCACCATAAACCGGCCATGGCCAGGTGCTCCTCACAAAAGATTTCTGACAAAGGAGTGAAATGAATTATCAAAAGAGTTGTCCAAGAGCCAAGGACCACTTGTGGAGAGCTTCAGGACCTGGAATTAGCAGGCACAATTGCTTCAAAGAAAACAATAAGTAATGCACTCAGCCACCGTGGTCTGTATGCACGCTCACCACGCAAGACTCCATTGCTAAAGAAAAAGCATGTTTAAGCTCATTTAAAGTTTGCTGCGCAACATTTAGGCAAGCCTGTGAAATACTGGGAGAATATAGTCTGGTCAGATGAGGCCAAAACTAACTCTGGATGCCATAATGCACACCATGTTTGGAGGTCAAATGGCACTGCACATCACCCCAACAACACCGTACCAACAGTGAAGTTTGGAGGTGGGAATATCATGGTGTGGGGCTGTTTTTCAGCATACAGCAATGGAAACTTCATATAATTGAAGGAAGGATGAATGGACAAATATACTGAGACATTCTTGATAAAAATCAGCTGCCATGTACCAGGATGATGAAGATGAAACAAGGGTGGACATTCAGCAAGACAATGATCCCAAAACACACTGCCAAGGAAACTCTCAACTGGTTTCAGAGAAAGAAGATAAAGCTGCTAGAATGGTCCAGCCAATCACCTGACTGGAATCCAGTAGGAAATCTATGGAGAGAACTAAAGATCAGAGGTCATAGGAGAGGCCCACAGAACCTTCAAGATTTGACTGTTTGTGTGGAAGAACGGGCCAAAATCACACCTGAGCAATGCATGCGACTAGTTTCTCAATACAGGAGGTGTCTTGAGGCTGTCATTACCAACAAAGGCTTTTGTACAAAGTATTAAATAAATTTCAGTAAGTGTGTTCAGTACTTTTTCCCTGTGTTATTCCATCTTATTACATTTCTGAACTTACAGTGAGGAACAGAAGTATTTGAACACCCTGTGATTTTGCAAGTTCTCCCACTTAGAAATCATGGAGGGGTCTGAAATTCGCATTGTAGGTGCATTCCCACTCTGAGACAGAATTAAAAAAAATTTTCAGGAAATCATATTGTATGATTTTTAAAGAATTTATTTGTCTTGCACTGCTGAACATAAGTATTTGAACACCTGAGAAAATCAGTGTTAATATTTGGTACAGAAGCCTTTGTTTGCAATTATAGAGGTCAAACGTTTCCTGTAGTTCTTGACCAGGTTTGCACACACAGCAACAGGGATTTTGGCCCACTCCTCCACACAGATCTCCTCTAGATCTGTCAGGTTTTGGGGCTGTCGCTGAGCAACGCGGAGTTTAAGCTCCCTCCAAAGATGTTCTATTGGATTGAGGTCTGGAGACAGGCTAGGCCACTCCAGAACCTTGATATGCTCCTTACGGAGCCACTCCTTGGTTATCCTGGCTGTGTGCTTCGGGTCGCTGTCATGTTGGAAGACCCAGCCACGACCCATCTTCAATGCTCTGACTGAGGGAAGGAGGTTGTTGCTCAAAATCTCACAATAAATGGCCCCATTCATCCTCTCCTTAATACAGTGCAGACGTCCTGTCCCCTTCGCAGAAAAGCACCCCCAAAGCATGATGTTACCACCCCCATGCTTCACAGTAGGGATGGTGTTCTTGGGATGCAACTCATCCTTCTTTTTCCTCCAAACACGACGAGTGAAGTTTAGACCAAAAAGGTCTACTTTGGTTTCATCTGGCCACATGACTTTCTCCCATGCCTCCTCTGGATCATCCAAATGGTCTTTGGCAAACTTCAGACGGGCCTGGACATGTGATGACTTGAGCAGGGGAACCTTCCGTGCAATGCATGATTTGAAACCATGACGGCGTAGTGTTCTACCGACAGTGACCTTTGAAACTGTGGTCCCAGCTCTCTTCATGTCATTGAACAGCTCCTCCCTTGTAGTTCTGGGCTGATTCCTCACCTTTCTTATCATCAGTGATACCCCACGAGGTGAGATCTTGCATGGCGCCCCAGTCCAAGGGAGACTGAC